CTAATTAATATTTAAAAGTAATTGTTTTTAATAAAAGATTTACAATTTGGCTATATTGAATGTTTTTGAATTTTTTTTATCAATTTTTAAGTTTTTTATTCTCAGTATTAAAATAAAAATTAAAAATGTAGCGCAAGTATCTATGAATTATATATAAAACTTTTTTTTAGAATATTGATTAGAACAAAAGTTATTTCATTTGTCAGATCTCCATAGGAAACTCTGTATATTTAACTCATTTTAAAACAATAATATAATTTAATAATTAAATAATATATAAACAATATTAAAGCAGTCTTAAGAGGAAACTACAATCATAAGTAATTAGTGTATAATATTGTATATTGTTGTACTTTGATTATAATAATAATTTTTAATAGTAACTATTATTGAATATACATTGTTTTACAGTTAAATTAGTTAATTAAATAAATCTAAGAGATGAGTTAAAAATGTTAGTTTAGAAACAGTTTTATAACAAGTCAACTTATATTTACTATCTGATTGATTTTTTATACTAAATATTCATTGATAGATAACTAACAAAATTAAGTTAACAAATTACACGGATATAAGCTGAAAAGCAAACATATCTTTTGATGATGTTATAGTTTATTGTAATTTCTAAACTTATTCATGTATTAAATATTTAGGAAATATAATAACTAAAAAATTATAATAGAGTAGTATTTAGTAGTATAGTAGTATAAGCTTAGAAACTTTGAACTTTTCTTAATTGGTTACGTCGTTGTTTGGCATATCTGATCCATTCCTTGATGAACACATTAACACTTGACTTTGTAGCATTTTTGAATTTGTTTTTTGACATATCTAAAGGCATATTTAAATATAACAATGAATATACTTAAGAACATTTTATTCAAAGTTTAATTAAGATGATGTCAACGCACCATTTGTTTTCTCTCTCTAGCCTACGCTCAACATAGACAAAAAGCATTTACGCAGAATCATCTTTTAAATGTTTTTAAGCAATCTTAAGGTAAAATCAACCTTAACAAAAAAGTTAAAGAATAATATTTTTGAGGGAATGCCATATCGAGGGKCTATTTTWAAAAATCTTTTTTGTAATGGGTGATTTTACTTTAAGATTACATAAACACATAAAAAAATGATTCTGTATAAATGTGTTTTATCTATGCATGGGCAAGAGAGAAAAAACAAATAGTGCATTGACATCCTCTTAAGAAGAATATTATTAATCATGAAGTTTATAGGTACGTACCAAAAATAAGTTTGACGATTTTTAAATTTCCAATTTGAAAATTTCCTCGAAATCCACGCCAAGAATAGTTGCCAGCTAAACGATATGTGAACAATGTACGTAAAATGGTYCTAACAAATTGTTTTAAATCTAACACACGACCATCATGATCTCTGGGTGTGATGCATGAAATCTGTTAACAAAAAACATCTTTTAAGAAAATTAATTAATATCTAAATATTGTATAATATAATATTTAAAA